GTACCTCAAGTTAAACAAGGCTATTTAACTTAGCCTTGCTAATAATCAAAGTAGGCTGTTACGTAATTGATATTAATTAAGATGAAATACCCCATCTCTCTTTAACTATCTAAAAATGTATCTCCTTATTTCTTTGAATTCTAGCTATTAGAAATTCCTTTCAGCCTACCAAAATTCCTTTTCCAAGATACAAATATGGCTGGGAAAGCTAGCAATCAGTCGTTAGCAGTACAAATTTCCCATTTCCATCAGATAACTTTTCTCTTAAGCTGTAGTTTGGCGCACTCGTGACCAACTGGACTATGGATTCCTTGTGGATCCAAGGTCTGTCAGAGCAATTTCAAGTGTATCAGGATCATGGCTTAAGCTTAAACTAGATGCAGCCCAGATTCCGGCTTGTCTGGACCCTCCTGAGAAGACACTGATCCTAATGGAGGTGCTTACAAGCATGGTTCATGGATAACAGAGGTGACATGGGGTACAGCTTGGTGCTTGGTCCTCTGACTGTCCTGGCCCAACCTCCTAGTGATATTCATGTCTATGTCCTGGAATGAGCTGACTACAATTAAAGGATGAGAAGAAAAGATGAGATTTTCCCACTAGGCTCTCTGTGGATTTAGGGAGCACTGGAGTACTGGGGTGAGCAGTGTCCACAGGGATGAGGTAGTGCCACAGGCCTGGGCCCCTGGGACAGACATAAGAACTCTCTGTCCTCTGCACCTTCAATTCTGGCACAGACATTGGCAGGCTAAGCATCATCATGGGTACCACAAAGTGTGCCTGCAGTATTGGGATCTTCCAGAATTATTTGGGAATTTCCACACAATAAAAGAGAATAGAGCAATGACAAAAACTGGTTTGGCCCTGGCCGGTTTGGCTCAGGGGTTGAAGCGTCAGCAGGCAGACCAGAGAGTCCCGGGTTCAGTTCCCGCTAGGGGCACGCACCAAAACAAAACAAAAAAACTGATTTGTAACAGGTGTTAAAATGCAGGTGTGGCCTGCAAAACCAGACAACAAAAAGCCCCAATGCCTTTTATGCCGAAAGTACAGCTGAAGAAACAAATTCTAAAATCTTTCAGTGTTGGGGCTTTAGTTACCTCATTTGTACAATGGGAATTTTACCTGCTGCCGCCACCTGCTTCATAACTTGAAAGCTAGATATTACATCATGAATACATTCATGTTTTCAAGTAGAACTTGAAACCAACTTGCAAATATTAACATTTTAGATTTTAATAAGAAGAACATATTTTTTACCTTAAAACTCACTTATTTTTTCAAAAGAAATGTTTTTCCCCCTTTTCACTGGTTATAATTTTAGCATTAGTGTTATATAGCAAGTGGGTAACAGGGAGAAACTGAAAAACAGAATAACAGAGAATGATCCAATTTATTTAAGATTAAAGAAACCCACTTTAAAGAAAGTTATTGCCCCTTTACCATATTTCTTAAAGAATCAAGCATCCCTAATACTTTCTGGGATGATAAAGTTTGTATGAAACAATGATCTCTGTTTAATGCAAACATTATCATCACAGAAACATAAGTAAATGGAAGTTAAACACAATTGTAAAAAAATTTTCTCTTAAATTTCCCAGTGGAAATGTTGGTTAAAGATCAGTACAGTGTCACGTTGGTGAGAACCTTAGTCTCATCTAAAGCAACACCCTCATTTTACAAATGAGAACAAGGCCCAGAAATTTATAACTTGCAAGCATCTCCAAGTCACAGAGCTGGAACTAGGTCTCACGTCTGCTCAGTGCCAGTTCTCAAGGTACTTTTCACTGTCACACACACACACACACACGTGCGCGTGCGTGCACACACACACAAACACACTAGGGCATCATATAGCACACTGCTCACACGCCTTTCAAAAAGTAAGTAAAATAACATGTGACTTAAATTACGATGAGACTTAAAGAACAGTGTGCATGAGAGAAAGAGGACCACGTCATGGAAACACTGATGCCAACAAATGACATCCTTTGGCATTTTGTAAAGAGTGGAGCTTTAGGAGATTCTAAGTCAAACATTCCACAGGGCGGTTGTACATGTAGGTAACCCTGAATATGCAATAGCACTAGATTAGAGCTTTTTTTGCTTTTTAATTTCCACTTTTTGACAGGTTTTGAGAAAAAAAATAAAGCACTATGTGATAGTAAAGGGGGAAGAATGTCCATTAACCTGGAATAATCATTTCTACCATACCATTCTACCATGTTGGCACATCACCCTAATTTAGGCCTGAATTAGCTCATGCTTGGATCACAGCTATGAGATAATCAGGTCTCTGGCTCACAAACCCTCTCCCCCGACTCCCACATGGCACCCCATTGACAAATTTACCTCCTTAAATCTTTGTTTGCATTATATCACTACCGTATTCAAGACCTATGATGGTGTGTGTTTAACTGTTTATTGATCCATGTCCAAATATTTTAATGTAGCTTTTTTTGGATCTTCATAATCTGTCTGTCTCTCATAAATCTACTTTCTGGCTGGCTGACTGTCTCTCCAGTAAAGCAGTCTTATTTCCATCACCAACCCTTGTCTATTGTTGGCCTCTCTTCCCTACTATCAATCCTACCCCAGCTCCAAGGCACCGACTCGTGTCCTCCATGCAGCTATCCTCCACTCCCCTACCCCTCACCGTTGAGACTTTGGTAGGAGGTAGTTCTCCCTTCCTTGGTTTCATGGATTTTTCTCTTATTGTATCAAATCTGTTAGTCTTGTATTCCTAATTTCAAGTTAACATATTTTAGGGCAGAAATCATATCTTAAAAATTCATCTTAGGAATTTCTTGAGCCCTCATCCCACCCCCATTGCCATATTCTCTAGCATCTTGCCGACTAACAGATTCTCAGTAAACACTTTGAGTGTTGAACAGTCCAGGCGAGGTGTAGGGAGAAAAGGCCACCTTCGTGCCGTAGAGGCAAAGCGGCGGTGCTGGTTCTGGGCTTACCTCTCAGACCCATCACTCTTCTTGAGGCTCCACATCAGCTAGTTCCTGACCTCTTGCTTCCCTGCAGGACTTGTTACATCAGTTCCTTCTCTCTAACCATGGTCCTAAATCTGATCCACTTCCAACCAAGGTCACGGCACCTTTTTAGCCACCTCTCTTACTCCAAGGATGCAGCCAAATGAAACTTTCCATTTAGATTCCATTTCTTTTCCCTCCATAAGAGAAACCCCAGCCCTTCCTGGGCTTGAAGCTGTAGACACGTCAGCTGTGAAGACTCTCCTCCTCCCACATGAATGCTCCAATCCCAGGTGTCCCTACGCCCAGCCCCAGCTAAGCCTACAAAACACTGCCGGTATTCCTTCCCTTCACTCCCCTCAAAATGGCCACAATGTAGATGGGATGCCTTGAAGTGACAGGATTTTCCTGCTACCTTACCACACTGGAGGGCAAAGAGAACCTGGCTTCCAGCTGCATAAACCTCGCCCAGCACCTGCAGTTCCAGCTCTCCCTGCCAGCAGGTAGGTCTCCCCAGGTGGTGAGGACGGCCTCCAGCAGGTTCCAGGAATCCTGCTACTCCTCCCACCTGCCACTCTTCCCTCACCCAGGTGACCACACCCAGTGGTCCTCAACCTAACCACCCAGATTAAATCTTCGAAGTGAAGAAAAGTTTTCCCTCTTGCAATTTCTCCTCAAAATAATAAACAATATACAGTCACATGCCACCTACGGAGGCTCAGCCAACAACAGACCACACATAGAATGGTGGTACCATACGACTATAAAGGAGCGGAAAAATTTCTATCACCCAGTGACTTCGTAGTCATCATAATGTCTTAGTGCAACACATTACTCACACATGTGGTGTGGTGATGCTGCTGTGAAGAAGCCTACTGTGCTGCCAGCCGTATAAAAGTACAGCACAGGCAGTTACGGATAGTACAGAACACTTGATAATGATAAGAAGCGACTGCTACAAGTTTATGTATTACCTGTACTGCACTTTTTATCATTATTTTAGCGTGTACTATTTCTACTCATTAAAAACAAAGGACCTGTAAAACAGTATGGTTTGTTACACTGGCAGCAGCCTCGTACATCTTGTGTTTACCTACTGTCCTGATTGTATCATTTTCTCTTGTGCTTGATTTAATCTCGTGTTGTTTTATACAGTAACATGTTGTATAGACTTGGAGCCTAGGAGTACTAGGCTATACCACAGAGCCTAGGTGAGTAGTAGGCTATACCTTCTACGATGTTCGCACAACGAGGAAATCCCCTGACCACTCTTCCTTCGAATGTGCATCTAGCTCTAGGAAGCACATGACTGTGTTCCAAGTAAAGCATCTGTGCATTTTACAGACCCTGCCCTAGCGAAGCAGCTACTTCCTTTTTCTTTGCTTCCTTATCAGCAACAGGAGAGTCAGGTCTCAAAAGTTGTCTTTTCTCCTCCAGCTCCTCCCAACTGTCCCAGCAAGAAATAGGTATAATAATTCATTCCCAAGCCTAGGCCAGCTCTAGTCTCTTCAGGGGTCCTCTCCCCCCTACCTCTGGCACACACACCAGGCAAAGAGCCCTCCACCTTGCCCACTCTCCCAACCCACATGCTAAGCCAAGGAATTCTCTTTTCATCTACTCCCGGGATGTCTTTCTCCTCCAGTCTCCCATACTCCTGCGTTTCCTCCCACCAACTCTCACTTGTGTGCATAGAGACCCAACAGCGCCTCCAAGGCTTTGAGGGCACTCTGCTGGGCGACACCAGCCCTCCGCTCTGCGCCCACATCTGCAGCACCAGCGGCTGGGCCCCAGGATCCCTTCCGACCTCTGGCCGCCCCGCGCCCCAGGGACAGCCCCAACAGGTGCTGTTGCCAGACCCTTAACGTCGCCCTCTCCCAGTGGTCCAAGTTCTCTGACCTGCTCCTGTCAGCCCCAGTGCGCCCTCGGGTCCAGATGCCAGCGCGGATCAGAGTTCGCCCTGCCTGCGACTCCACCCCAGACTCTCCTCCTGGGTCTCCAGTGCCCGGCGCGGCCACTTACCCAGGGCCAGGAGCAGCGGCAGGGAGCTGGCGCCGCTGCCCGGGGCGGTCCGGTCCATCAAACCCTCGCTGCGGGGCGGACAGCCCCTGGACGAGCCTCCCGCCTCCGTCTGCGCCCCTTTTCCAGGCCACGGGCGTCCAAGGAGGTGCCTGGAAACTAATCCCTGAGCCAGAAGGAAATGAAACTACTCTTCAAGCTGGAACCCTGACTACAGGGCAGGCAAACACCCAGGGCGGCGGCCGCCGGATCCCTGAGTGTCGCTGGGAGGAGGGAGCCTCCTATTTATTCTGCTCTTTCTGCACACACCCCACCAGCGAGGCGCAGGACGTCGTGGTGGTAGTCTCCAGGTTGATCCCACTCAGATTACCCCACACCCACACTCGAGTTCATATTGGGGCTGCCCTCCGACCAGCTCAGCCACTCCACCTGCTGGGTTGCACCTGACTGTTCCGGTCCCTCCGCCTTGGGGAGTAAACAGGTAGGAAGGGAGGAGGGAGAGAATGCACTGGAAGGTGTCTGATGTGCCCCAGGACAGGGCCTGCAGGCAGCCTAGTGAGAAGCCTGCACTAAACTCCAGGAACCCACTGAGGGAGAATCAGAGACCCAAACGTGCTCTGGAATTCTAACTTCCCTTACTACTTCAGCCAATTGCTGGTCTCTTGGAGGGACCAGAGCCAAGAAGCACTGTGGTTAACCTCAGGCATTTGACAATTTACAAGCCTTCCATTTACATATATCAGTTGTTGGATGGATATCTGGGAGTTTGGACTCACGGAGAGCTGCTTTAGAAATTTCATTTATATTTTTATTTATCCATTTACTCATTTATTCATTGTATTTTTAGTTATTTATTTAATTTATTTACTCTGTTGGAGCTGTGAAAACAAGGAGAAAACTTTTTGCCTGTCTCTATTTCATCACACCTCCTCTTTTTTGAAGAAGTGGAATCGGATCCAAGCATTTTCTGGAACACAAAGGCATCCTCAGATAGCTTTCCAAGACAGAAGGCAGCATCCAGTGTTACCTTATGTGATTAATATATTTGCCTCCAAAATAACCAAAGGGTACAGCTGTTCTCAGTCTGATCTATATTCCTCTTGCAAGGTCAGTGAGTGGAATCATGCACCACCTCAGTAGAGAAGATGTATCTCTTGAACATCCAAAAGGCCCATAAACGTTCATTTACATTGAAGTGCGGTTTGGATGTCTGGCCCTTCCTCCCCATTGTTTAAATTAAACAAAGTATAATGCATTTTTCTTCCACATCATTGTAGTGCTCCAAGCAACCCATATATTCAGAGGAATAAAAATCAGCTGTTAATTTTCTGAATCCTGTGCTAGCTCCCACTTGACAGAGAGGGCCAGTATGAGGTTTAGAGAAATCCAAGGTTGTGGGATCAACCATCAGTGCACGCAGATTTTAAAAGGGAGGAGCAGAAGAAGGCGACATTTTGGCACCATCTCCTTTCCTCTTCCTTTCTGATAGTCTCTCCTTCCCTGAGGATCAAGACCCTATGTTCAAGTATCTTTCACACTGAAATGACACCCTAGCCAGCAATAGTCCTGCTATCCTGCAACAAAACATTACTATTTTATTTTTCTTTACCATTGATACTAATAAAACATAAAGCACACCTAAGCAAAAAATACTAAATCTGTGTTCAGTACTGTAAAGTGTCAGAACTTGGTGTAAGTATTCATCATTCATGCCATTGAAATGGTAAATTATCTTTTTCAGGCCACTAGAGTATGAAATAGTGTAATTTAATACACTAAATAGGCTGAACAAATTAATAACCTTCCCTAAGGGCTTTATTTACTAACAAAAATAAAATAAGCACCCTGGAGAATATGCCTTCCAAATTTCTTGACACTAGAGATTCAATTTTTTCAAGGTCAAGGACTTCCTTCCTTCTTCCCTCCCTCCCCTCCCCCTTTCTTTCTATTTATTTACTCATGGGGGAAGGTAAATCTGGGATCCAACCATAAACTTTAAAAGAATTGACCTCTCTGGGGCCTCATGCATGGAATGAGGTGTGTCTCCATGCTTTAGGTTGTAATTTGAGCAGTTGCCAGGAGAAGAATGGGTCAAAGCTACACTGGAGTCACAAGGTAGAACTTGTATCCCCAACTAGGGATTGCTTGCTGCCTGTTCCAGCTTTAGACCTGTAAAACCAGCCCTCCCAAATCTGGTATGAAGCTTAAGTGAATTCTTTTGGAAGGCCTGTAAGTATCAATCTTTTCTCTTCCTACACAGAGCAGTTTTCAGCAGGAACCCCGCCTTCCCCCCCACACACACCCCCGCTGCCCCAGACAGGACAATATAAGTTTGTGGTTATTTGTGGGACATAACACCAACAGATACACGTGGTGATAGAAAGAAAAATTTTGAATGTAGTCATTCTAGATCAGCCTGTGTCCTCCAAATTGTCACTTACTGGCATTTAGTAGTATAGGAAGATTTCCTTTTGGTAATTTACATTTATTTAATTCAATAAGGGTGGGTGAATGAAAATAAATATAGATATAAAATAAATTTAGATATAATGTTTTATAGTAATGATAAACATCATGCATTATAAATTATTAAAAATTAGTAGTACAATATATGTAGAGAGCTTTCAAATATTTTATTTGAAACTATTGAATTTGTCACTTAAAAAAAAACAGTGAAAAAAAATCACTGCTCAAAAGTTGTATTCAGGGGATTTTGTTTTACAATCTAGTTTTTCTGGGGAAGGGGGATTATTATTGTTTATTTTTTTATCTTACCTATTTTATTATATTTTCCCTGTCAGTCTTCTAGGGATTCATTTTTTTATAAAAAGATGTATGCCTCAATCTGTTTTGCTTGCTATCTTTTTATTTCTTCATTTATTAAAAAAAATTTTTTTTATTGATGTTAGAAAGAGAGGAAAGGAGAGGGAGAGAGATAGAAACACCAATAGAGAGAACATCCATTGACTGCCTCCTGCACGCTCCCCAATGGAGATCGGTCCCACAACCTGGGTTTATGCCCTGATACTGAATCAAACTGGTGACCTCCTCCTGGTGCATGGGTCAATGCTCAACCTCTGAGCCACACTGGCTGGGCATGGCTTGCTATCCTTTTAAAGTGGCAGCTTAATACAAGTTTAATAAATCTCAATATAATCTTTTCTGTAATATTATATTTATTAATTTCAGTTTACCATTATGATATTTTTCTTTGATCATATTTATACATACTCTAAAAAGATAACTTCTGATTAAAAAAATATCTGGGCTTTTGTGTTGGCTCTAGTTGTAGACTAAATAGGAAAGCACCTAAGGGGCATAATTTTAATGCGATAATATGAAAAGGCTCTAAACAACCCTACCTAATACACCTGTCAGAGTGGCTTCATTACCTCCTACATGGTTCCAGATTTCTATCAATGTAGACAATGCCCTGGGTGGGACGACACAGGTGGAGTATTATGTAAAATCGAGCTTGGCATCTGTTCAGTTGATTCAAATTGGAGCAGTGTCCCAGAGTGCCTGGATCACAAACTATTCACTTCTCTGAGCCTCAGTCTTCTCATCTATAAAATGTGATGGGAACTCTTTGCACAGCTTTTACGATTCACAATGCTATGTGTCTCTACGGCAAAAACTTTGTATATTAGAAATTATTCAGTGTACTATAGTTGTTATATTATTATAACAAGGGAGACAATTATAGCTGGTTGCCATGGAGACTACTTCCAGCTTAAAGAGGATGTTGGGCTTAGACGAGGGTAATGGAGATGGAGGGATGATTCTGCACATATTTTATTTTATTTTTGAGGATTTATTTATTTTTAATGTATTTTTATAGTTTTTTAAATTAATTAATTAATTAATTAATTAATTTTTGTTACAAATGTTTATCCTCTTTTGCCCATTGACACTCTTCTTCCCCTCCCTCCTTGCCCTGTCCCCAGGTTTGTTGTTCATGTCCATCAGTAATGCGTATATGCATATAAGTTCTGTGGTTTATCTCTCCCCAACCCCCTCTTCTGGGGATTGTCAGTCTGTACCCTACTTCCATGTCTCTGGGACTACCCTGTTCTTCAGACTGTTATGTTTATTATATTCCACAAATAAGTGAGATCATATGATACCTGTCCCTCTCTGCTTGGTTTGTTTCGCTTAGGATAATGCTTTCCAGGTCCCTCCATGTCTCCTCAAATGATAAGAGCTCTTTCTTTCTTACAGCTGCATAGTACTCCACTGGGTATATGTATCACTGCTTTTTTATCCATTTGCCCACTGATGGACATTTGGAGCTGTTTCCAGATCTTAGCTATTATAAATAGTGCTCCTATGAACATGGGGGTACCTATATTCTTTCTGATTGGTGTTTCAGGCTTCTTAGGGTATATTCCTAGAAGTGAGATCACTGGGTTAAATGGCAATTCAATTTTTAATTTTTTGAGGTAACACTATATTGTTTTCCATAGTGGCTGCACCAGTCTGCATTCCCACCAGCAGTGTACTAGAGTCCCCCTTTCCCCACACCCTTTCTCCACACCCTCGTCAACACTTGTTTGATGATTTGTTGATGGAAGCCATTCTGACAGGTGTGAGGTGATACCTCATTGTTGTTTTAATTTGCATCTCTCTAATGATTAGTGATGTTGAACATTTTTACATATGCCTTAACCATTTGTATGTCCTGTTTGGAGAGGTGTCTATTTAAGTCTTCTGCCCATTTTTAAATTAGGTTCTTTGTCTTCCTTTTGTTGAGTTGTATGAGCACTCTCTATATATTGAAAATTAACCCCCTTTCTGATGTATCATTGGCAATGATACTCTCCCATAGAGTGGGTTGCCTGTCCATTTTGATGATTGTATCTTTTGCTGTGCAGAAGGTTTTGAGTTTGATATAGTCCCATGTGTTCATTTTCTCCTTTGTTTCTGTTGCCTTAGGTGATGTATCAGTGAAAATTCTGTTGCGTATGATGTCTGAAATTTTGTTGCCTACATTTTCTTCTAGGATATCTATGGATTCATGAGTCACATTTAAGTCTTTGATCTATTTTGAGTTTATTCTTGTGTATAATGTAAATTGATGGTCTAGTTTTATTTTATTTTTTTTTGCATGTAGCTGTTCAATTTTGTCAACATCATTTATTAAAGAGGCTCTCTTTACTTCATTGTATGTTCTTGCCACCTTTGTCGAACATTAATTGAGCATAATATTTTGGGTCCATTTCTGTGTT